CCAATTTTAGGAAACCCCCATATCTCCCTACACGTATATCTCTAGCTATTCCCAGATATGTCGTTAGACATCCCTGGCCTGGTGCTTTTGATCCAAACTACAAAAGTTACGTATGGACTATCAGGGATTAATATTGGGGGTTCTTACATAGGGAAGATGGAAAAGAAAAATGGACACTGCAGGGATTATAGGGGTTATATNNAAGAAAATGGAAACTACAGAGATTACAGGGGTTATATAGGGATAGTAGAAGAGAAAATGGAAACTACTATAGCAACCCGGTTTTTTGTGACCTCACTTGAACCTACCCACGAACATTCCCCACACGCCTGAGCAGTCGCAGAGCGAACCCGGAGTTTCGCACCCTCGGCAGCCAAATCGCACCTGCCCACAGATTCGGAATCCTTTTCGAACAGCCAAAATGGAATTACCATCTGAACCCTGAACCCATGAACCATGCAATCCCTGAACCACGTGAATCCCTAAACCCAGAACCCATGGACTAAGCAAGCCCTACCAAAATCTCCCAATCACGAAGCCAGCCAAAGTGTACACTTGCAGACATTGGCCCATTCCTGGCAGAGGAATGTACCAACGCATCAGCTTGAATGGAATGCTTGAGAGTTACAGCTGGATCAGAAGGAGGTAACCTAGAGCTATGACTAAATATGGTAGTTTCCAAAATTAGGGGACCGCAATATAGACCCCAAAATACTATAGTCCTTATTCTCGGGAACCCCCCAAAAAATGTAGCACTACTTGTAGGAAACCCCATGTCGCCGAACCTGGAATCCTACTTACAATTGGCCATGACCCTGAACTCCAAAACTTTGGGTTTAGCGTTCAGGGTTCAGGTCCTGAACTCCAAACCTGCGCCCAAAACCCTAAATCCTCTCCCTTTACTACCACCACAGACACAAAAATCAGCTTTCCACTAGAACATCTCTAGTTGGCATCGTCGCTTTTAACTACCATGTACAAGAAAGGAACCCGAACTAAAACATCTGCAAATCCTAAACCCTGAGCCTTAAACCCAAAACCCTGTGGTTGGCATCATGGCTGATCCCTGGCAACCCGGCCCTGCCCTGGAAGGGCCTGGCTACGGATGAGCGGAGGGATGCCCGGATAGTTGAAGAAGACCTTGGGTGCCAGAATCACGGGATTGAGGATTTAAGGCTTGGGGTTTAGGGTTTGGGGTTTAGGATTTCGGTGTGGGGGCAAGGGTTTCCGGGCTTAAGGACTCAAATGAAGAGGAAGAGGACGCGAGTTTGGGTGGGTGCAGGATTTGGGGCTTTGGGTTTCACAGAGCTGTGCTCAAGATTTCAGAGACGTGGAAAGTTTTGAGCGTAGGGCCTGAGCACTGCGGAGTTACCACAGCCATGAAAGACATCAGAACTCGAGATCGAGCGAACATGATGCGCATGAAATTCTCTTGCGGAAGCCAGACCGCAGTCATTCACTAGCTGTTTTGAAGAACACGTTGCACAGAGCCTCGTTGAACCTCCAGGAAGTGTCAGAACCATCTCTCATGTTCACCGGCAGCTCCAGACATTCAGCGGCAAGTATACTTCTGCAAGGGCTAAAGAAATACAGCAATCAACTATTTAAAGCCTATGTGCCCCCCAACCCTAGAACCACGCGTTCAATGCGCATCCCTAAACCATCCACTCTCAACCCTTCAAGCCATGGCACATCCTTCGTCTTGTAGGATGTCTCCTTGGACAGGTATTTCGACATTCTTAGGGTAGATTCCTCGGATTCCTAGGGTGACACAAAAACCCCCAAAAAAGGACTCCTTTGTCCTTGCAGGGAGACTAAACCCAGAAAGCCAGGCTTAGAGGGTCTGTCCTATCGTGGGGCCTCTTTGGGGATCTCCCTGATTCTGGGTACATCTCAAAATCGGGAGTTGGTTTTAATGCATCTTGCATGGTGTTGTCCGTATGTAAATATGTTCCTGCTAGTGTGGGGTGTGGAAGGAAGCATTGTGTCGAGATGTACAATACGAGCGGCTGCGAAAAGATCTCGAAGAAGCTGAGGGGACGATGACACGGAACATGCTTTGGTCCACTTGAAGGCTCTGCATGTGATGTTTGAGGGTTGGGGTGCAGGTTTGGTCTTCATTGATGGCTGTTGTATGTGAGCTTCCACGGACAGCACATTGAGAAATGCCAACAGCTTGCGATTTTCATAGTCCCCTTCCTACTAGTTGACTAGGTTGCTGCTTAAGGAACTTAAATTAAGTCACCATAATATGGGCGTGTATATATATAGTAAATAGTAGGGTTTCCCCAATATAGTAACTTGAATTAAGTTCCTTAACAGCAACCCAGTTGAACGCCCTCACTATACAGCTTGCCTTGATTAGAAACGGAAACTGCATATTGCCAGCGTTTAGCTAGACATGGTCGAGTCAACATGGTCGGCAGGTATCACGAACTGTCAACCACTGATGCGAACGCACTGACAGATAGATGACATTCAAAATTGCACTCGCTTTCTGGCATGTGACTGTTGTATTACCCCAGAAATATGGGTCCCAGCAACATCTACAAAGGGAGCCTTAGATCATATGACCCCAAACCCTAATAGTCAGAAAAATCAGAATAATCATAATACTAATACTACTAATAATAATATGAATAACAAATTCAATAATGGTAACAAAAAATAAAACAAAAAAGTGCTCCTGAAGCCTAACCCTGAACCCTACATGCAGCCCGGTCACGTAGTCTGGGAAGAAATCCGCGGGCCCTCGCCAAATGCCCGGCTTCGCAGCATGGGCCTCTGGAGGGTTTAGGGATTGAGGGGTTAGTGGAAAAGAAAATGTAAACTACCATAATGGGGCTATAGAGGGTTTTGGGTTTAAGGTTCAGGGTTGGGGTTATGTAGGGATAATGGAGAAGAAAATGGAGACTACAATATGGTATATTGGGGTTGTATTGGGCTTCGGGTTCAGGATTTTTCTACCTGCACAGGAACCATCCCAGAAAATAGTGTAGACCCATGATTCTAGGGCCTAAACGTTAGGATCCCTATTATAATCCCTATTAGGGATGATTTATTAATCAAGGGTTTGGGTTACCTTCAAATAGCAACAGATATTTTCTGTTCTGCATTACCCTCCCCAAGCTTAGGCAACGCCTTTGTAGAACTGCAGCAACCCATGGCGAGCCTGCTCCCAGACGGAATCGTCGAATTTGGGATGTTTGGAGCCTTGTTGGACAGCAAAGAAAGGCCGGAAGGCGTTCAATCCAAGTTCAACACATCTGCTAGGAGTCGTGGCTTCTGCCACTTTCCAGCTGTGTGGTTTACTGCCATTGCCATGCTTAAGAAGTGGAAAACCCGACAGCCTAAACCCAAAACCAAGGTTGCTTAATGAATCCTGCTTTACCCTAAGGGTCCAAGTACCTAATAATCATATACTTACCCAAAACCTGTACTAGAATTACTATTACCCAAATCCCAAGTACCTAATTATTGGGTACATGGACCCTCTGGGTTATTCTAGCAGCTACAATTGCATGGGACAGCAAGCTAAGCCCAGGCACAGTCGTAGACCGACTTGTTGCCGTGGCACGAGTCCAGCCTAGGCTCACGTAGCTGTAAAGACACAGGTCTAGGGGGGGTTAGGGATTAGGGTTTAGGGATTAGGGTTTAGGGTTTAGGGTTTAGGGTTTAGGGCTTGGGGTTCAGGATTTAAGGCTTCATAAGCAGGAAAGTAAATGGTGACCTGTTTATGACGAGAGAAGTTGTGCAGGACTTGGGCCACTCGAGCAACCCCATAAATCACAAAAAGGAAGCCTACCATCACACTTCCTGTTTCTTTGGGAGCCTAAGGTGAATCAATATCAAACACCAGGTTGAAAAAACTGCACCCAGTGCAACATGCTCGCGAGTTGAGCCAGCCCATGCCGGCAAAGAAAAGAAACATGCGAATGATTGGCAACCAAATCCCATGCTAAGCTTAGGGATTGGGGTCTTGGGCTTATTGCGCGCAACCATACAAATCCTACAGAGTCCCACAAATCCTGTACCGCCTTACAATTTCTACATCCTTCAATACAACCCCGCGGATAACAAAAAACGCATCTTCACCTGAGTTATAATCTAAACTCCTAGTATCCCCCTTAATATCCCCTATAATACTCCCTGATGACCCCCCTTTAAGGAGTTTAGACTATGGTTCATCTGACTCTACCCAGATCCGTGGGACTTGCAGCTGAGGCTCCAGTTCATGTTGCCACCTCAGGATTGCTTTATGTGGGTTTAGGGCTTAGGGCGTAAGGCTGGTAAGAATAATCCTTGCCCCCTAATTTTAAACCCCCTAATACTAGATGATAAATCCAGGGGCCTAAAACTCCTGAAGACTGCTTTTTAAAGGGGAAGACTACTTTTAAACGAGGCCACCGAATAATGATTTCGGAAAGGTTTGATATCATCAGGGATCCCCTTGATATCCTAGGTTTTGATTGTTTTTCATCTAGGTTCATAAAGGAATTCATGTAAAGCCTTGAATGCGATGCTATCCGGCTTTAGTACCATTCTTGCCGAAGTTAGTTTGATTACAATTAGATTGCAATTATGTTAATGAGTTTCAATTGCTTTTAACTCGGCTTCCAAGAGGTTTTAATGGGTGTCAAGTCGAGGTTTAATACACTCTGCGGGCCTTAATTGGACTTAATTTGATTTCACTTGGTTTTAATCGCATTTTCAATTCGATTCCAATTGATTTTAGATGGATTTTAAGTTTGATTTCAATGGGCTTTGATTGGATATTAATTCGATTTCAATGAGTTTACATTGGAATTATTTTGGGTTTTAGATGGAAATTTTACTCAGGTTTCAATTGATGTAAAATGGATCTAGAGTCGATTTCCGTGGGTCTGACCTGGAATTTACTTCGAATTCAATGAATTTTGAATGGGTTTTAATTCAATTTCAATGAATTTTAGCGTGTGGCCTTAGTTCGATTTCAGTTGGTTTTAACTGGAGTTTAGTTCGGTTTTAAGTGAGTATATTTAGATGGAATTTGAACTCGGCTTCAGTTAGTTGTAATTGGGCTCTAATTTGATTTCAATTGGCTTTAGCGGGATTTTACTTCAATTTCAATTGGTTTTAATTGGACTTAAATCGAATTCAATTGGTTTTAGATGTAATTTTAGCCAGGTTTTAACTGAGCTTCAAGGGACTCTAATCCGATTTCAGTCAGTTTTCAGTTGGTTTTTCATTCGATCTCAATCGGTTTTAACTAGATTTGGGCTCGGCTTCAGTCGACCCCTAGACCCGAAAGTCAAACCTAGTCTAGGGACTTTAGGAGGGACCCCTGATAGGGACCCTTAATCCCATTACCATATATGACCTTTATATAGTCATTATATAACC